ACAAAAAATAGAGAAAAGAATTGGGTAAATGGTTGAGTGTAAACTCGTGAGAAACTATGAAACAAAAAATAGAGAAAAGAATTGGGTAAATGGTTGAGTGTAAACTCGTGAGAAACTATGAAAATTGAAGAAATAAGAAATACAAATAATATTCCAAGCCCAAAGAATAGAAAGCTGAACAAAGGAAAATGGAAAAAGAATAGTCAAAGTACTTACCGTTGAATCCGACTGCCCGGAATCAGTGACATGCAAGACTGTGCCATCTTTTGCAGGAAGCAGAGTCAGCCTAAGAGAGTTCTATCCAGAAACCATGAAAATGCAAACGGTGATGAAAGCCATTTTACCAGGGATCCAATCCGCTGGATAGTAACACCGAGCCTTCTGCAGCAACAACGCTAGCATGTTTCTTGAAATGCTAGTTTTTTTTCGTAAAAATATAGCACATAGCAGAATGAAACTTGCTCCAGGAAATTTCTCGAAGAAACGAATCAAAAGATAAAAAGAAACGATCAGAAGGAAAAATCTGGAGAGTTCACGGTCAGAGGAGAGTTTGAACAGACGCGTTTTTGCGGTCTTCGAGAGTGGCGCGTTAGCTCGAACCGTGAATTTACGGTACCCGTCAATCGTTTCTATTCATGGAAAATTTTCATGAACAAAATTATTTTGAAAAGTGAGGAAAATTGACCGTTCATACTCAAGGCATGAACTGGTTTCAAGCCTCGTATCATAACTGTGCGCTGAAAAATTCTCATAACTTATGCCACTTAGGAATGTGACAGCGTGGCAGGCTGCTAGTGCGAAGCATCCCTTCAGAAAATTGAGCTAAAGGGGTAAAGTGTGGGAATATGTTGTAACTCAAAGTTGTCAAATCTCATGCAAAACTACAAAACGGAAAGAAAAAACCGTCAGAGCACAAAGTTCATTATTTCCTACAGGTCTACTGGTAGCACAAAGTGTATGTTAACCCTACCATTAGCCTCATCGCAGTTTTCCCAACACTTGTGATATTTTGTTTCAACAATACGAATCTGACCATAGCTGCTTTGTATCCAATACACAAATTGAACTGAAAAGGCGTTTCTAGAATCGTCGTCCTTGAAACTACCGATTTCATACAGGATCATGAATCACCAAGAGCATTACTATTTAGGATGTCTCCCACACAAAGGCTTATGTGCCAGTAAGCACTGAAAAGCATGAGAGTTTGTGGTGCGTGTACTTTGGGGAACAACCATGGCGCTGAGTCAACGATATCGATCGGAGAATTGCACCCAGGCACCGCCCACCCAACAATTTTCGAAAGAGGAGACTTCCAGGTCCAGTGTTTCGTCTGCAGTCATGGCTGAAGAACCTGGTACTGCCCCACAAGAGCAGAAGACGGTCACATTCAAACTCTACCTGGACTGCGCCATAATTAACATCCAGTTCAAAGACAAGCACGACTTATTCGAGTCGCTGAAGAAGAAGTTGGATGACTTGGGTATACCGATAACCAGCGTTTATTCAACTGATATCAACAAGAAACCGCTCCAACTCAAAGATGCCGATGCAGTAGCGCTTGCTGCCGGCAGCAATCGAAAGCCGTTGTTTGCTCACATCCAAGACGACGATGCGGAATGCCCGGATGGACATGACCTTCCCCTATGGCAACGACACGGTCATGGACGTCATTCTCACAGGCGTCACTCGTCTACGAGTCACGGCTCGAGAAGTCATGAGCATTCTCCCGAACCCTTCCTTCATCGCCCTGGAGACCATGATCACCCTGACAGCCATCACCCAGAACACCCTTGCCAACCTCCACATCCTCCTCCTCCCCCTCCTTCATATTTTCGCTGTTTCTGCGGGGCCTTCGGTCCCCACGGGATGGGATTTGGTTGTAGGCCGATTCCATTTCATGGCCATGGATTCGGTCACGGTTATGGACATGGATTTAGGCATGGCCAAGGGTGTAAGCAGGGTTACAGTCATGGTGCCCCCTGTTCTGCCTGTGAACCCAAGCATCAGTGCCCTGCTTTTGGTCGCAACTCTCGTCACCATTGTCCTGGGTGCGGTGGTAATGGTTTCCACGGTTGATGACTTTCATTGACTTCTTTTTGTGATCACAAGTGTTTCCATTGGTAGCATTCCACTTGTTGTTATTGATTATTGCCGAGATCTGGTTTGTCTTCAACTTGCGTCTGTCTCGGTATTAGCCCCTTAATAAATTCTTTTGTATTTTTGTATATTCCATTGAGAACGGTCTTCCGTAAACGTGTCTTGCCACTGATAATCTGATATAATTTAGATAAGCTCGGAGTTGATAGGTTAGCCTTTGTTCACTTCAGAATCACGAAGAAATTGTGCGTGGCTTATTCTAAGTGTAGTCAAACCAAAAGTGGCACATGGACCTTTCAAAGTGAGTTGACGACGCCGTGTAAAAAAAGGATATGATTATTCTTATTACAAGGGTTTCCGATCAATCAATAGAAATGTTCCACTTGAAGGTCAATGACGACAGAAACTTTTTTCTACGTAGCAGTAATTGTATGCTCCGTTGAAATTTCGCTGCTGTTCCAGTAACAAAGTTGACGATTTTCTAGATCTGAACTTTGGACACAGCACAGGAAATAGCATATGTCACGAACTTTTTTCGGAAAAGTATTATAAACAACCATCCTGGTTCGCATTCCAGTTGTTCATTGATCACACCATCTGAAAAAGATGGATCAATAAAGGAATAGACTAGACGGAGGGAAGATCAAGTTAGTGCGCCCGAAAGTGAGTCGATACAGATCGCTGCTACTCGACAACTACTTCAAACCTATGTATGTATAAACCTGATGATCACATGCATGGCGCAATCCAGAAGGGTGACTTATTATAAATTGGCGAGTTAAACCGTTTTCTTGTTTGAACATACTCCTACGTTTCACAACACAACAACAACAACAGTTCTGATAAGGTCCTTGGAACAAGTACAGTTACATGGCAGAATCTGTCGATTGCTTACTAAGCAGACATACTCTCACTGTTACCTTCTAAGCCTACAGCCCTACGGGGCTCTACCTAGACCACGAGGATAAATGCTTATTTTACGGTCCCTAGAACTTAGACCTTCAAAACTCAGATTTTTAACTCAGTACGATCTAGGGGAAAAAATAGTTGTAGAATACAACGTTTACACGCATAGATTCAAATTATGAAACAACAATAGCGAATGAAAATAAGTGCCAAAGGAAATCACCAAAATCTGCGCCAATTCATATCAACCTGCATCTGAGGAGCACAGTTTCTGCATCAGGTTAAGCTGAGACTCTATTTCACGTATACTCGACCACTCACTCCTTTTCGTCCAATGCTTCCGTGCAAGGCGGTGTCGCTGATTAATTACCAATTCTATACGCGGAGCTGATAGAATGGAAGTTGGGGCTGAAGTTGATAGAACCTTCATTGTCTGGGAGTGTGCCAGTGAACTAACCCCACAACCTACGCAGTCTTATGTTTCCTATATTTGATTGATGAGGTTTATTCAGTAGGTGTATGGAACACTGAAGGTGTGGTAACCGGGAGTTTCTCAAAGAGAGGGACACACGTTATCTGAGGCCCATTATTGGGTTTCTTTGACTGCTTTTGCTTCCACCACTGATTTTTTACTCACTTCAAATCCTAGAAGTGTTTTGTGACAGGTATGCCCTTTTGATCTTATTGGAATTGATGATTATTTAAGATTATATGTATGTTTTAATTCATGGAGCTTGGTAAGTAGTCCGGGGGATAAAGTGATCGGGTGAATTCGGTTTGTGAGAAGACTATGTCCGGCTAATGAAAACCATCACTAAGAAATGTACTCAAGTGAGCAATGGCGTCAAAGGCGGCTGATGGCAAGGAAGGTATTCTCCACGAATTCAGCCCAGTACAATTCAAGCTAGTGGTCCTGCTTCTTTGTAAGAAGGCCTATGAATGGTAGTTTTTCAGTTGGTACAATGTCATTTGCTCAAAGTCAAGCTGTTCGACCATGGAAAATCCACCAAATTCAAACGAAAACGGTGCATAGCCACTTTCTTGGAACTCTCCCACAAAGGCAGTAGTGAAGTCTCGGGCTGTAAAAGCTCCAACTAAAAGCTGAAAAGGACCAGAAGCGATCACCAAGGTAAAAGTGTTGGCAGCCTCCCAAACGCAATTATTCCCTTGTTTTCCGAATGTCTTTATTCTGACGCTCCTTTCCGTGGACGAGAGGTGTTTGTCTCTCAGTAGTAGGAGTAGCTATTGATTGCTCGCCCTAATGTGAACAACGGGTAGGTTGGTTCAAAAGCTTTTATTTTCTCATTTTTGCTAGTTACTAACATGCACTTACACTTTGTCATTTCTGAAAATACTATTCAACTCAATATTTTGTACTGACAAGGTGTAAGATAACACATATAGTGATTTTCAGATGAATCGTTCACATTTTGACGGAGGCGTCCTTTGGGCTTGAAAGTTCAAGATTAGAATCGCCGAGTTCATGCTGAAAATAAGATAACCCACAGGCAAAAGTTAAGATCAGTAAATACTGTAGCGAGTACTTTGTAGGGTGCTTACCCTTCGCGATTTGACTTTCATTTCCACCTCGGCCGGTGACAGGGATGACACCGAATCGCCATGTTCAATTTTAAGTTTCTTCAGTCGTCCTTCGCTAAGCTTTTTTGGTGATTTCACCTCAGCTAGCACATTAACCACTTCTGAAAGCTCGGAGCTAAATCGTTTTATTGACGTCACATGGGAAATTTAGTAGCCATACTCACTGGAAGTACTCTTGATCCATTTGGCAGCAACCATGGAATAATACAAGGGGACAAGCACAAAAATACATTCCAAGAAGATAACCGTAGTTGACTGCAAATTCGTATACAATTAACCGATTTGAAGGGGGCATTGTAAGCCAATAGTGCGAGTTCTACTATCTGCGTTTTCTAATCATTTTAATGTAAGAAATCGTTCACTACTGCAGTGTCTTTGAGGCAAGTAGGATTTTAAGGTCCCGTGAATGCGCTACAGTACTTTGGTGCCTTTGGGTTACTGTATAACACATTCTCGGGACTTTGAAATCCGTCGTGTGCGTTTGGACCAATTTTGTGCCCAATTCAGGACGCAGGTCGTTTATAGCCTCAGTTATCGAAAGAATCCTGAGCACAAAAGTGGAGGCATGAGAAAGGTCATATCGACAAATCAATCTTTACGAATTCTAGCTCTATCGAGCTGCAGCAGAGCGATGTGTTGGGCCAAGGAAGTACTACTGGAAGTTTACCTTCACCGTTCGTTCAAAAAGTTCCAACATGGCGAATTCGATCATTGGAATGAGTAACGTTGCGGACGTCATTCTGCTATCAATGATTTCAGGACCTCGGTTGGAGAAATTACCCGCACTATCAGGCGAGAACAAGCAGGAAAACCAGGTATGGTATCTCAACTGCCTAGGTAAGTCCGAGAACAATGAAAGAAGACAAGAAAGCTCGACAAATGGGTTTCCACTAATTGGGCGAGAACCGGCAATATCGTTCTCTCATCATTTTTCGCAACAAAGACCTTACTCCTCTGATCGCAATGCCACATGTGGCGGATTAGGCTCAATGACGACATCTGGAACTAATTAGCACAGTGAAGTGTAACGAACTTCAGCACCACTTTCCACATCGGGGATGCACTCAAAGAAGGTAGTGCTGACCTCACAGGGCAACAAATGGAGCAAATGCACTAGGAGACCTGACGACACCCGGCTTCCCTCAATAGAAGAAGATCCTATGAGGTACTCCTTTCTAGAAGCGTGCAGTGAGTAGTTAAGCCTAATTAACTGGGAATATATCTCATTTACAGCTTTGAGCAGGGCGTGTCATGTAGTAATGTAGTGATAGCGTAATAGCTTTCACTATTCAGGCAAATGGTAGCATACTAGACTACACAGGGAATTATTACCTATTTTTGTGGTAGGGCCTTGAAAATGACTGTAGCAGCATCGACTCATACTCGAAACCTCTTTGGCCCTTCCTTTGAAGTGATTGTTGGTCTATTCATATGATTCTTTGGTGAAAATGTAGTTGGGAGGGGGGGG